GTTGAGTGTACTCATCCCGAAGGTAGTACAAGGAGGGATGGGAACAAAAAAACATATTCCATCAGATGAGTCAGAATATAGCAAAAGAGACAGAAGTTACTGAGTGTTGGATTTGCAGTCATGGGCCTATTTCCCAGCGTGAGGGATGGCCACTAATGGTAGGAAACGCTATTAAGTTAAAAAGGATGAAGCACCTTACAGCCTCAAAATTATGAGATCATTGAAATCTTACTTGATCCAGAGCAGAGCTATAGTGACACATAAAGGGATCTCACCAGAGGCCCCAGCATGTATCACTTGGGAAAGAAATGAGAAAGACACAAGATCGGGGAAAACCTTCTCCATACTCACCAAATAGAACTTGGTCATTATCCCTATTGCAATCTCCTTCTCCATGTATTTAAAACAGAGGCTTTCGAGGACATTAGCCTCTTAGCCCATTTAGAGCATTCTAAACGGATGGGAAAAATTTGATAGTGTTGTTTTACTAGAACTGGATACCCACATTAAACAGGCCCAGGAAAAAGCTGCCAGCAAAAACCGTGATCAGCCAAGGACCCCCAGCAGGGAGGTACCGCAGGGTCAAGGGGAACCCCCCTTTGAGAGACCACCAAATGAAAGATCACAGCAGAGTCAAGGGGAACCAAATCCTGCCAGAATGGTAAAGGAGGTGGAAACCCGTTAGGCTGTGCCAAAAAGTCTCTGGTAACAAAGGGAAGGTTACCCTCCCCGGGCTGTATCGGATTTGCGGACAGTGGGCAGGAAAGATTTTGCCACCTTTTTGGGTTGGAACATGCACGATAGGTATCCTAATGCTAGCAGATGTGATAATATATAGAATAACCATCCTAAATGATTTGGAAAAGAGAACAGCCGCAGGGTTCCGTCCTGGGCCCAGTCCTGTTCAACATCTTTATTAATGACTTAGATGAAGGGCTAGAAGGCAGGATCATCAAGTTTGCAGACGACACCAAATTGGGAGGGATAGCCAATACTCCAGAGGACAGGAGCAGGATTCAAAACGATCTTGACAGATTGGAGAGATGGGCCAAAACTAACAAAATGAAGTTCAACAGTGACAAATGCAAGATACTTCTCCTTCCTTCCCTTTTGTCTTTCCCTCCTTCTCTTCTTTCCCTTCCACCCTTTTGTCCTTCCTTTCCTTTAGTCTTCCCTTCTCTTTCCTCCCTCCTTCCTTCTCCTCCCCCTTCCTTCCACCCTTTGTCCTTCCTTCCCTCATCCCATCCTTCCTTCCCTTTTGTCTTTCCTTCCTTTCTTTCCTCCCTCCCTTCCCTCTTTCTCCCTTCCTTCTTCCTTCCTTTCCACCCTTTCATCCTTCCTTTCCTCTTTCCCTCTCTCCCTTTCTCCTTCCTTCCCTTTTGTCTCTTTTCCTTCCTTCCCTTCTTTCCCTCCCTCCCTCCCTTCCCTTTTCCTTCCTTCCTTCCTTCCTTCCTTCCTTCCTTCCTTCCTTCCTTCCTTCCTTCCTTCCTTCCTTCTCTTTCCCTTCCTTCTTTCTTCCACCTTTTCATCCTTCCTTCCCTTTTGTCTTTCCATCCACCTTACCTCCCTCCTTCCCTTTCTTTCTTTCTTCCCTCCCTCTTTCTCCTTCCTTCCATCCTTCCCTATCCACCCTTTCGTCCTTCCTTCCTTCACTCTTTCCTTCCTCCTTCCCTTTCTTCCATCCATCACTGGGCAGCCAGTCGTCTTAGCAGGGAATGCTAGCATGCGGCCCCCAAGTTAGAAAGTTTGCCCATGCCTGCTGTACTTTATCCTCAGCTCATGAATGGAAAACAGAATGTCGGTGGACAGCAAAAGAGATTTAAAGATGGCCTTAAAGCTAATCTTTTTAAAAATGTGGAATAAACACTAAGAACTGGGAAACCCTGGCCCTCAAGCATTCAAACTGGTGATCAGCTAACAGTGCTGTGGATTTTGAAGAGGCAGAAAGAAAGAGTGAACTATTTGGAGTCAGTGTCAGGACAGGAAACGCCCAGTTCAGCTCATGGAAAGTGAAACTAGCTGAGCTGCTGCCTTGCTGTTTCTTGCCAGGAAGAAGCCATGGCTGCTGCTGAGGATCTCCTTGATGAACTGACTTGTCCCATTTGTCTGGGCTATTTTGAAGACCCTGTCACCTTGGCAGGATGTGGGCACAATTTCTGCCGGTCATGCCTGACTCAACTATGTGGAGAAAGCGAGAGACAAGCTGCCTGTCCCCAGTGCAGAAAAGGCTTTCAAATAGAGAGCCTCACTGCAAACCGACAGCTGGGGAATGTGGTGGAGATTGCCAAGAAAATGCAGGAAGGGAGAGAGAAGAGAGGAGAGGGCCACCTCTGCCAGAAGCACCAGGAGCCCCTGAAGCTGTTCTGCAAAGAGGATGAAGTCCCCATCTGTGTGGTGTGTGACAGAGCCAAGGCGCACAAGGGCCACGAGGTTGTTCCTCTCGAAGAGGCTCCCCAGGACTACAAGGTCAGAATGAAAGCACTGCAAAGCTGCATGGCATTTTCAGGGGTGCATCTACACCAGCCCCTGGTGGCGCAGTGGGTAAACCACTGAGTTGCTAAGCTTGGTGACCAAAAGGTCACAGGTTCAAATCCGGGGAGTGGCGTGAGCTTCCGCTGTCAGCCCCAGCTTCTGCCAACCTAGCAGTTCAAAAACATTCAAATGTGAGGAGATCCATAGGCACTGCTCCGGCAGGAGGGTAACAATGCTCCATGCAGTCATGCTGGCCACATGACCTTGGAGATGTCTACGGACAACGCCGGCTCTTTGGCTTAGAAATGGAAATGAGCACCTAGAGTTGGACATGACTGGACTTAGTGTCAGGGGAAAACCTTTACCTTTTATTTACACTAGCGTTTCTCAACCTGCTGGTCAGGACCCCTGGGGAGATGAGGGGGTGTCAGAGGGGTCACTAAAGACCATCAGAAAACACAGTATTTTCTGTTGGTCATGGGTTCTGTGTGGGAAGTTTGGCCCAATTCTATTGTTGGTGTAGTGTGCTCTTTGATTGTAGATGAACTATCAATCCCAGCAACTACAACTCCCAAATATATTCAAAACTCAGCATTTGTGCCCACCAGTATTCAAATTTCAATATATCGGGTATTTGTGCCAAATTTGGTCCACATCCATCATTATTTGGGTTCACAGTGCTCTCTGGATATAAGTGAACTACAACTTCCAAACACAAGGTCAATGCCCACCAAACCTTTCAGTATTTTCTGTTGGTTATGGGAGTTCTGTGTGCCAAGTTTGGTTCAATTCCATTGTTGGTGGAGTTCAGAATGCTCTTTGATTGTAGGTTAACTATAAAGCCCAGCAACTACAACTCCCAAATTACAAAATCGATTCCCCCCCTCCAACCCCACCAGTATTCAAATTTGGGCATATTGGGTATTTCT